GAACTGCAAACAGTAAGGAAACCGTTGAATGAAAAGGAGACAGAAAACGCAGCCCTCAAAAAGAAGATCGAAGAGTTGCAAGAGATCATTGTAAACTCTCAAAAGTCCATAATCGACCATATGGACAAGAAATTTGACCAGCTCGAGGGCAAATCAAAAGAGGCAACCCTGGAAAAACAAGTGCAGAAAAACAAAGAAGATAACCTGGAAAACCAGGCCACAACCAAAAGGAAAGCCACGGGAGCAATCCCTAAGGAACCCAAAAACAAGAAACAAAACGAGGAAAAGCCCAAACAGGCATCAAAACCAAAGAAAACAGAAGAGGAAAAGCCCAAAGTGGCATCAAAGCCAAAGAAAAAAGAATACTTTCCCCACTCACCCCCACCAAACCCACAAAAGAGGCTCAGGTTAGTGAAGCGCAGGTCAAACGGCGTTCTCCAACCCCAACCCAGAAGGACACAGAAGAAGTACCCAAGAAAACTTGGGTACCAAAGCCACCTGTAATCAAATTACAGAGTGTCAACTACACAGGGGTCATATTAAACATTGCTCAAAAAGAGCAAGTGATTACCAACAACAAATTATCAAGAAGTGGCCGAGAAACACTCATCCAAGCCAAAAGCCCAGAGGATTACCGAAAAATGGTAAAAATTATTGAGAAATTCAATAAAGACACAAAAATTCAGTGGATAGCGTTTCCACTGGAAGAAGATATAAAACCAAGGATGGTTTTAAGAGGGCTACCCTCTTCATCATGCCCAAAGGGCATACACGACGAGATACTGGAAGACCACAATATCAATGTATTGTCGGTCAAAAACATGATCTCAAGGAAGACCGACAAAAGAAGCCTACCCATGTTCGTCATGATGGTGGAAAGAGAGGGCGTCGAGAAACTTAAGCGCATCACTAACCAGATGCATATGAAAGTTAGAATAGAAGACCTCAGAAAAGCAACAGGGCCCACACAATGTTTCAATTGTCAAGGATACCACCATGCGCAGAGAGCGTGCTTCAAAGCACCTCGATGTGTAAAGTGTGGCGGCAGAACACCCGGCCAACTTCAGAGGTTGTCCCAGATGTCCAACCTGGGGCAGACAACAACAACCCCAACGACAAAGGCCAGTCACCCAAAACAGGCCACAAACCGCACCTACAGGGATATCTTACGCCCAGGCAGCGAAACCTCAGGAGCATGAAAAGACCATCCTCATCTCCAGACAACACCAGGACGGCCTAGTAAATTCCGTAAAGGAATTACTTACTAGGGTCGTAAACGAGGCGATAGCGGACTTCAAGTTGGCACTGAACTAGTGCAAACTAATAGGGGATACTGGAGGATAGGCTCCTGGAATCCAGGAGGTATAAGGACCAACCAGAATATTCTGGACGAACTGGTCAATAGATACGAAATGGACGTCGTAGCCATTCAAGAAACAAAACTTACGAACAACGTTAATATCAAATTCCCAGGATACGACGTATACAGGAACGATAACACAGCGAGAGCAGGCTGCACAGCAATACTCGTGAAAAAAGGCATAAAACACACTAGATTACTAACACCACAACTAGTAACCATGCAAGCAACAACAATAAGATTAGAAATGAGGCAAGGAGAAGTCAGAATTACCTCCGCCTACGTAAGACCGCAAGATCCGCTGATCGACGATGATCTAAACACGTTCCTAAAAGACGAACCCTCAATTATAATAGGAGACCTAAACGCAAGATCCCCTAACTGGAATGACAGAGCTACGAACAGAAATGGAAGACTACTAAATACGTATACAGAAAACAACGAAGACGTTATGGCAATGGGCCCCACAGACCCAACGCATTACCCAGGAAACGCACTTCCAACGCATATAGACATAGTAGTTGCTAAAAACCTAGGACTACAAACAGAAATTCTAACACTAAACGAAGGTACAACCGATCACAACCCCATCCTATTAGAACTAGGAACGTGGGAAGAAGAAAGTACAATCAAAAGGATTAAAAAGAATACAAAGTGGACAAACTTCAAGAGACTCGTGAGCACTGGAATAAACATCGTCCCAGTGATAGTCAATCCACGAGAAATAGAAGACACGATCCTAGAGTTGGAAAACATTATTCAACAAGCAATTAGGAATAGCACTACTGAACAAGAAGTAGAAATGCAAACGGGCAGATTCAAAGATATACCACAAGGTATAAAAGATTTGATAAGGGAAAAGAACAGAGCTAAACAGACACCAAGAAGAACAAGAAACCAGGCAGACAAAAATAGAGAAAATCGACTAAACGGAGAGGTCAAAACAGCACTACAACAACACCGTAGTGAAAACTGGGAAAACCACATAAAGACCACATAAACATAAGGGACATGGAAGAACAAGGGCCAAATATGCAAAATATTTGGAAACTGCAAAAAATCTTAAGAGGTGACAGAAAGCCAATTCCCCCATTACACGGAGAAAATGGCATAGTCTACAGTACAGAAGAAAAAGCAGAGGTAATGATGAGTACTCTCGAGAGAGAGAGTGTACATTAAATTACCACCCAGACGAAGACATCGACTTCATAGAAGAAGTCGAAAGACAAAGAGAAAGACCGGAAAACCCAAACGAAATTATCCCTCCAACAACACCGGAGGAGATAAACGAGCTAATCAAGAACAGCTCACCAAAAAAGGCTCCCGGTCCAGATCAGATCACGAACAGAGCTCTAAAATACCTACCAGCGAAAGCCATCGTATACTTAACAAATATCATAAACGCAATGCTAAGGTTCAAAAAATTCCCAAACAGATGGAAAGAGGCCCATGTCATAATGCTACCAAACCCCGGCAAAGGCAGCACATTCCCACAAAACTACAGGCAGATAAGCTTACTACCAGCAATCAGCAAAATAGTGGAAAGAGTGATACTCAGCAGACTCCAAGGTGAAACAGACAGACTTAACATCATACCTGAAGCCCAATTTGGCTTCAGATCAGAACACTCCAGCGAGCTACAAGTACTCAGACTAACAGAGTACATAGCAGCTGGATTCAACGACAAACAATACACAGGAGCTGCATTCCTGGATGTAAGCAAAGCATTCGATAGAGTCTGGCATAAGGGACTACTATACAAGCTGAGAGGATACGGGTACAGCGGAGCAATGACAAGGCTGATCTCTTCATACTTGGGCAACCGTAGTTTCAGAGTCCGGATAGGACAAGTCCTGTCCAAACTGGGGAACCCGGAGGCTGGAGTGCCACAGGGAGCGGTACTGTCACCTCTGCTGTACACGATATACACAGCAGACATACCTAGAACACCAGGTACATTACTAAGTCTCTACGCCGACGACACAGCGATAGCGGCCAAACATAGAAATGTAGACATAGCGGTCAACAATCTACAGACAGCGTTAGACGACATTGAAGAATGGAGTCTTAAGTGGAAAATTGCAATAAATTCAGACAAGACGCAAGCTGTACTTTTTAAAAAGAGGCGAGAAAAACCGGAAGAACAGGTAACTGTGCAAGACACTCCCATTGAGTGGAAAAGCGAAGCAAAATACCTCGGAGTAATAATGGATAAAGGACTAACTTTTAATAAACACGTAGAAGCTACGATACAAAAAGCAAACATGGCAAGAGCCGCAATAAGAGGCCTAGCAGGAAGGAAAAGCAAACTTCGTATCAAAACCAAAATAAGACTAATAAACAGTATAGTCCTTCCTATACTGACCTACGCGTCACTTGTATGGGGACATATATGCAACACAACCAAAAAGAAAATACAGGCTCAACACAACAAAAGCCTAAGTAAACGTACCAAGATACGTAGCTGAAAGATTCCTTTTCAGAGAACTACAACAAAGCATAGTGACTGATACTATGAAGAAAAAGGCGAGGATAAAGTTCGCAGAATTAGAGAATAACCCAACTCACATTCTACGAGAACAATGAGGTATGACGCTTTCCACAGATGGAAGCACAAAAGACCTAAACAACAAATAGTAGATTAAAGTAAAACCAGAGAGAGAAACAAAAAACCCCGCCCCAGATGGACAAAACTCTACAAAAAGCCCAGAGTGAGAAGAAACTCAAAATTCATAATACACACACAAGGAAGATAGTTCGTAGCTTAAATCACCCAGATTATCGCACATCGCCTCGTTCACAGTGGGCCCAGCAGCTCAACTAGGATATAATCTGTATTATGGTATCGTATAATATTTATATATTTTCCTTATTATAATATAGATTATACACTAATTATGATTTTTTGTCCACACCTACAAAAAAAATTAAAAAAAATACAAAAAACCGGCTTCGGCCACCAAAAAAATCAAAAAAATACTAACAAAAAACCGGCTACGGCCACCAAAAAAACTAACAAAAACCCCAAAACCCGGGCACGTAGGGCCCAACACCCTTGAGCACCAAGCCGCCGAACTGAGCCGGGACTCAGAGCGGAGACTTGAGGCCCAGGTAAGCAATTTTAGTTCGCGGATAAGCCATATTAAGATAACAGGAATATAGCGGAGATGCGGAGATGTGAGTTTTGCATTCGGTTAGGAAACCATGTTGGGGTTCTATTACCCAGGACCTCCACATGAAGAGCATTTGGCTGATTGTTGTGCCTCTATAGTGAATCAGATTGCTATAGAGGGGGAAGGGATGGTCTAGAGCATTTGAGCACGGTGGGGTGACTCCTGTTTTTACTCGAGTTAACACACTTTGCTCCAATGAATTGTTACACCCGATCGTACTACCTGGGTGAACATTTCTCATAGGCTGAGTTTAATCAAATTGCTTGCTTGCTTACATAGATAACCTGAAAAAGGCACTCTGCCGAAACAGCTGTAGTGATAAAATATTATAATAAATTTTTGTGGAATATTTGAAACAAAGTTTTCAGTGTTTTACTGTTACATAAAAAGAATTTCCATCAAGTACCGGTCGACTCCATCACTTATATAAATAGTAATGTTAATATTTTTTTGTTTATAATTTGTAGAAAATAATTATCCAGGAAGAATGGAATCTGGCATGACATTTACAATTGAACCCATATTAACACAAGGTGATCAGTACATTGTAATATTAGATGATAAATGGACAGCAATTACAGAAGACAATGCACGCACTGCGCAATTTGAACATACAGTGGCCATTACTGATACCGGTGTGGAAATATTGACTAAGTAATCTATTGTTATATTTGTTAATAAATGAGTTTGCCATCTATCTTTTTTAAATCCCAACATGATTATAATTAAATATAAATGCAATTGTGTTAAAACTGGTTCGTGTTGATCAAAACATTTTATCTTTGATGATACTATCAAAATACTATGAATCATAACTTCAATAGGTCACGTGACAAAATCGTCGAATGAAAAGATAGAACATACCAATGACGTATAACGTCATTGGAACATACTAGAGAGTTTTTAAGCCCCTTATTTCAGTAACTTTATACGTTATTCTGCTCATGCGCATTAACAGAAAAATAACGGATTACTTTATTAGCGGATAATGTATTCCCTTATTTAGGTAAAGATAAGGTTAACGTTATTAAGGGATTACGTGTTTGTAATGTTGTCAAATGCCAGATATATAAATCATAAAAAACAAAAAAAAGTCATATGAGCTGAATCAAAGATAACAAAGAATAAAAAATATAGAAAATTTAGTTTAGCATCTTTCTCTTCAATTGTTTCCAACACAAAATGTAGTCTTGGTGCAACAGATGTTACAGGATCAAAAATATTGTGAAGAATTAAGCCTCTTATCAAATTGTGATCTATTACTTCTCCGTGTCTTCGTCGTCTTAATATATTTTCAATATTTGCTTCCATTATAGCAAATAAATCAAATAAAATAGGTTATAGAGTATAACGTGGTATAACTGCCGCTTTATAGGTTACGTTCGTCAAATGTCAATTAACGTTAATCTGTCATAGGTTAATTTCTGAAAGGATACAAAAACTATTTTAAGTAAAAACGTTATCCCTTATTTATTATTCAAGGCGCATGACAAGTATAACGTTTTACGTTTAACATCCATCGAAAAGTAAAGGGCCTAAAAACTCTCTATTACCTAACCTCACTAACTAATGTCAAAAATGTCATTCAGTCGTCCAATGGAATGCAAGGTGGCAATTAGCCTCTCGTCCCTAAAAGAGGAGCGACTAATCGTAGAATTGAAATCCGACGTTGCCAAGTGTGCGATTGACACATGGCGGCGGCAAATTTAAATCATCGGTAGTAGTAAATTTTATATTGTGGTAATTACAATAAATGAAATTCCACTAATTATAATATTATAATAATATAAATATTTTTGTTAATAATAAACATAATGAATTTATCAACTTTAATGTAGAATATAGTATTGACTGTTAATGAATACTGTTCATTACATATACCTAGCATTGTTTTTTAAATGGATAAAAAATAAATAAAAATACAAAATACTTGAAAGACTAATTATTTTATTGAACAAATTAGAATGTAACAAATAAATATTTATAATAACTATAAGCTATACTGGGACAGGACTGTACGCACAGACCAAACAATGGCACACAATAGACCAGATCTCATATTAGTTAATAAACAAACTAGACAAACCACAAACCTGATTAATGTGGCGATACCCAACAATAATCTGCGTATCAAGTACACCGAAAAGATCACCAAATACAGAGATACTCCAATCTACCAGGTCACCTAGAACTAGGAAAACACCTAGATAACACGGAAAGAGTCCCCCGAGAGCTCAATCCTTTTGATACCCTAGGTATCTGGGATGAGTAAATTTTCCCTTTAGAGGGAGTGTGAGCCGCATGGCTTAATTCTGGGATAATAATAATAATAGCGTTTCTTACCCAACAGTTACCCATTTACAGAGCAATTTTACAATTCAATAATAAACAATTATCATGCTAACAAATAAGTACAAAAAAGAAACAAATATACGTTATAGTATATTTAGATTTAGATAAGAGCTCGACACTTGTTTTTTAATTCATTAGCACTACAACAGAAAATATCACAATTAGGTATTGGAAAGTTTGTTTGCATTTCTGCACATTAAGTTGATTGATGCTTTAAACATTATATTCGTGTAAGATCTTTTACACTCAAATGTATTATTATATCGAGCTGTTACCCGTAGAACACAGATATCGATTTATGATAGTAGATTAGGTCAGTCAACCTACATTTAATAGCTTATACAAAAATAATATTGAAGACTGATTTCTACGCATTTACAAAAAAATCAAATCTATCTAACAAAGCGACAGAATCACAACCTCTTTGGAGATGTTCCTATAACTTTGAAGGTTAAAAGTTTTGGATTCCATATTAAAGCTCCGTATTCTAATTTGGATCTAACTAAGCTCATGTACATAGCATTTAGTGCTGATAGATCATAGAAACTTTTACAGTTGCGAATAATAAAATCATACGAGCGATATTCGGAGGAAACAATAAAGGTTATTGTCACAATAAAATTAATACACTTGTCCACTTTTGTTCTGCGCAACCTAGAAAATGGCGCCATTCTGGTATTGCAGAGTGTAGGTACAGTTGCAAGTTCAAAAATGACACAATTTTCCTAAATTGCGCGAGACTTTTGAAGTTGCGTACACTTTAAAAGTTGCAGAGTGTGAATAGTCAAACTTGCTGAAATGGCGCGATAAAAAAATGAACCGACGTGTTGGTCTATATTTAGTGACGGAAGTTTTATGTATTTCAATAGTTGTGTATAGGGATGGCATAAAAATCGATGTTTTTAGTTCCATAAAGGTCCACTTCCAAGGTTTTATCCACTTCTTAACCCAAATTCCTTTTTTCCTATTATTCTCGCATCTTCTACGCTGTCGTCTTCGTAAGCGTTAAGCACGAAGCTACTTGTATTTCTTCATCATCAGAATAGATTTCTATTAAATTTTGTTAATGAAATTAGTAAATGTAATGTAAGTTAATTAAATATTACCAGAATTATCAAATTTTAGAGCACCGTCAATACAACACTATTTCGACTCTACTAATCTCTACTGAAAAAATTGCAGCTGTGTAGTGCAATAAAGTGGCGCACTGTGTGTGAACAGCTCTGCAACTTGATACAATTTTTCGTGAGACTTTTTACTTGCGCAAGTCACTTATGGCGCCGCTTTTCAATTTTCTTTAGCATATATGAACAGAAACGTACATTTTGTTGTTGCGCTATAAAAAGTTGCGCCACAAAAGTGTACAGATGTACGAAAACTTAAAATTGTGATAGTTAAATGTTAGTTGACAGTCCATACAAATACCCGATCTTTGATACAATTAGTTCTTTCTAGTATAACATTATCAATTTAATATGAAAACAACAAAGTATTATATTTGCGACTAAAAGTAAGAATTTCATATTTTGATTTGTTTAGGTAAAGTTGATTTTGTACACACCAATTATGTAATAAATTGATTTGTGTTTGTAACATAACACAATCTTCTAAAGTGTTAATTGTTACATATAATTTTAAGTCATCTGCAAACATCACTTTATTACAATCTAAGGAATCACTAAAGTTATTAATAAATAATGTCCCCCACATGAACATCTAGATTGTAAGATGACAACTGTCGCAAGTAATACGTCTGCGAGTGTGTCAAGGTAGGTATAGAGAAAATCTGTTGGAGATCCATAGAAATAGTGCAGTACTGGCTGTTTGGAAGCTGCGATTTTTCATGGTCCAGTTTCATCACATGTCGAGCCTTCTCAACTTTTTTATGGTGTAGTTCTAATTTTTGTTGATTTACAGCCTTGATACTTGGTAAATTTTGTATTTGATTTTTAAGTAAGTCACAAGTGGCACAAGTGTCTTGTCGAGGTTTTTAAAAGCGAATATTAAGAAATTTTTTTTGTCAGTATAATGTCGCAAGGTGATTGCCGCAGATTGATCAGTATATTGTCTCAAGACAATCTCACATGTCACACAGTTTGGTCTATTCTATTGTCTCTTAGCGTACTGGCATTTAGCCCGGTTTTACTTTACGATGCCTGTCACTTGACACGTACACGATCTTGTGGTGTCCTTTAGAACTACTTCTAAGTAAAAAAAAAAAATTGTTTAAAATCCTTTATAAAAGGTATATAAAAATGCCCCAAACGGGCTATCACAAACACTTCTGAGTAGTTGTGAAGTTAGCCCACTTTATAAAGCATCAGGCATCGGTTTTTACTTATGTGATACATTTGTCACCCTTGGCTTCGCCTCGAGTGAAAGTTACAGATGATCTGAGACATTTCTTGTTTACCTCCTTTGGTGCGTAATATGTTATTGTTCGAGTAATAAATTTTTTTTGAAAAAATTGATATTTGAAAATTCCACAAAATATTATTTTCATTAGTTTTAGGGGATGGGGGCCTTCATTGAATATATTTGATTGGCGCCCCCTAAGTTCTTTGTCCTACTCGCCTGAAAATTACCAGCACAAGACTGGATGTAAGTCCTAAATGATCTAGATGACGATCACTACGATAGACATCATACTTCGAAGTAAAAAATTTACTGCAGTTTACATCTGATTTTAACCAAGTTTCACTAAGCGCGATCATATTGTATTTACAGTCACTAACTTTAGTAGAGAAGAAGTCTACTTTGGTGTTAAGTCCTCTCACATTCTGATAGTAAACAGAGTCATTGGAGTTACTGCTGGGTGCACTCAGTTTAATGAAATTATATTAGGTATATTGTTAAAATATTTAATTCTACAGTTTTCACCAACTGTAAGTCTCAGAGTTAATTCTTGTTTTACTTTTTTTATAATATTCCACTTGTTTTGGTGTACTATCAAATGAAATAGTCAATGATCGTTTGTTCTTGATTTTCTTTGCGTTTTTAATACCAAAAATAACTTCCGATTCATTATTTAATGTAATTTTTACAGGACGTTTCTTTTCAGGTACAAATTTACAAAGTCTAAACAGTTTAATAGTATTTCCATCAATGTTGGGATTACCTAGGCTGAGTAGTTCCGCAACTTTGTTTCTACCAGTATTACATCTGATATCCGAGACTTCACTATAATCTGGTTCATCAAGGCCATATATATATATATATATATATATATATATATATATATATATATATATATATATATATATATAATATATATATAATATATATATATATATATAATATATATATATATATATATAATATATATATATATATATATATATAT